TGGTGCCAACTTGGGCCAGTGAAGCAACATCCTCCACAACTAGACTGAAGAACAAAAAGACAGCAACTTGTCTGTTCCCCTTCCCCAATTCCCCAGCACTGTTCCCATCCCTTAATTCCCCAATAAAAAAAAATCTTAAAAAAAAATGTGAATCCTGGTGTATCATCCTGGTGTCCTACTCGTAGGCCAGTGTGCCGTGCTATGTTTCTACACAATCCTTCTGATATGTATCTTAATTGGCAAAGAGGGAATCAAATACTGATATAATCACTGCCGAATCAGAGGATAAAGTAATTGTTCTATATTTCAAACAAAACTTATTCCTTTTTTTTTTCATAAGAAAAACATGTAGCTATACCTGGACATCCAGGGCTACCTGGCTCACCCTTTGGACCAGGTGGGCTGAACTGACTTGCAGGGTCACCTTTGATTCCTGTAAGTAATAAAATGCACTAACATTATTTAAGAGAATTTAATTTTTTCTCATACAAGTGGCTCGATCACTTTCATGATATCTGTCTTTATAGCCTATCTTCAAGTATTCCATGAGAAGATTTTTGAAAAAATGCTTTATTTTCCTACATAAGAACAAATGGAAACATAGATGCAGGATGTGATTTAAATATATACACACACATAATTTTATAGTTGATAACAATCATAGGAAAGTATAGATCTTAATAAGTTTACATTTTCAAATTCCCTAAATAACTTCAAATTTAGATACCTATTTAAGAAATTAATTGGCATTGAGTGACTATATCCTTATATTGTGTTTTTGAAACAAAAAGAAATTATCACTGTTTCAGCTGCTGCAGCCACGTTTCACACCATCTGCAAGGAAGCTCAGCTCAATGTCCTTGCAAAACCAAAATCACAAAGGCACACTTTATTGATGATTTCACAAGAGGTGGCACATTCAAAGGCCATTGTAGGCAGTGACTCTCACCGTCCTACAGAGTTGCCCACACTGCTGAGAATGCACGAACACTTACGTCATATGCGTACTTGGGAGTCGGTTATAAATGGAGGACTCAAAATGGTGTGGTAGGGAAGGCAAGACAACAGATGTGGTTACAGAGATGAAGATAACTAATAAGGCATGCTTTTTAGAACCTGCCCACCAACACCCCTTTCCAAGGAGTCCCACCCACACCTTGCTGAAGGCTCTCTTCCACCTGACCCTACTCATAATTGTGGCTAATTGTTTGAAGGGGAGGAGTCTGGCCCATCCCCAGTCAGCAAGTCTTTCCTTGAGAAGTTGGAATAAAGAGTGAGAAGCTGAAGGCCTTGGCTTTTGAGGCAGGAAACAAAAGGATTGTCATGATGTAGATTCTTATAATGTAGGAGCATGTTGGAGCACAGTCCAAATATATCTGGAAGGACCCAGAAAGGATACTAAATAGAGATTGATGAAACTAGTTGGTAGCCAAGTAAGTAAAAAACAGACCATGGAGAATGGCAGCGAAGTCTCAAGAGAGAAGCCATGGCTTGCGTAAGGGCTAGGTTCATTGGCCTTATGGTCTGGCAAAGCCATATCTCCTCTCTTGGGGCTCCACAAGATCTCTTTCACTCCAGGTATCCTGAGTGCATGTCAGTGCCTTGCAAATATGGCCTAATACAAGTATAAAGGAAGTGAGAAGAGGTAGGTTTGTACTTTGAAAGAGGCAAAGGGACTCTAATAAATTAGAGGTACGTAGAAGAGCAGTGATTTTGGAACCCTGAAGCTATAAAATATCAAAATTAAATATAAAAACTTCTGTATTTGTAACCCTTTCGGAAGAAGAGATCTAGATTATTCTTTCTGAATTAATGTGTGCACGGTTCAGTTTTTTTTCTTACAGCAATTATCATATTATTTATAGAGTAGTTTTCAAAAGGTACAGCGGGTATCATTGGGGGTAAGGAAGAGGATTTTTTAGGTGGTTCATTAATTAGTATTTTGCATTTTAAAGTTATTTACTTTAACTGTATTAAAATTAAATACTACTGCACATCAAGCCTGTGAATTCATAGATAGTGAGGTTAAAAAAGGTGAATCATTTTGAAGTAGATTTAAAGAAAAATATTAACACGATGGTATAGAAAACTTGTAAAAATATTAAAGGTGTTATGCAAACATTGCCATTTAAGATATCCTGATTTCTGTTTCTTTTGACATTGGGTCAACTTTCTATGTCTGTTTCTTGGAAATGTGCTAAAGGTAGAATGTAGATTGTGTTACAAGGCAACATTGTTTTTTGGCACAGGCAAACTAAGGCCTGCAGCCTGTTTTGTAAATAAAGTTTTATTGGCACATAACCATGCCTCTTTGTTTGTATATTGTCTATGGCTGCTTTCATGCTGCATGTACATTCATTCATGTATTATAGCTGAGTAGTTGTGACAGAGACCACAAACTGGAAATATTTATAATATAATCTGGCCCTTTGAAAAAAACATATTCATTGACCCGTGGCTTGTGGTAAAAATAACCCAATTGTAAATTACATGTGGCCCAGGAATTCTTAAGTGAACAATTAACACGTGTTGGGAAGTCATGGCTTTGGCCTCTATGTGCCACGACTCTAGTAACTGGGACCCTATAAGCTGTATGTGTGTGGAGTCCTTAGAAGAGATACTGGCTTCTGTGGGGCATGGGGCTTCTAAGCTGAGGAGGACAGTACCCAGAATGGGGCTTCTAAGCCCATGGGGCCAGTGCCCACCAATGGGGATCTGCTCTCCTTCACCTGACCTGTCACTTACAGAGCTGTAGTCACTACAAGGAGAGCTGGAAGGACTCCCTCTGAGGAGGAAGATCGGATGTGCCCTGCAGACTTGCTGTTTTGTATCTGGTACCCTCGGATCTGAATGACAAATGCGGACAATTTAGGTCTTGAGTGCTTAACTATCTAGAAGAGTCTAAAAAAAAAAAATCCTGGGTCTTGCAGTTCTTTTGATATGCATTGCTTTTCATGCAAAGGGTGCTTGCTCACAATGTTACAAACAGCTAGGTCTGTGAGATGGATGGCTGACTGCTGTATGTCCAAACCATACCTTTAGGTCCTCTCATTCCATCAATTCCTGGAAATCCAGGAGGCCCTGGAGACCCCGGCTCACCCTGATAGTTTAATGAGACAGAAGTAAGACCTTAATTGGGTTTCAAATACAAATGACACATAATCTAATCCAGTTATAATTTTCCATAACCAACTTGGTTTTTATACTCTGAAGTGGTAAAGAAATTTGGAAATGCATTGCAAGCTTACTACTACATGTGTCTAGTTTTTAAAAGTTGATAAAATTCCTCCAGAATTAGAGGTATCAGTACCAACCAAAAGATAACATCCAATTCTTCATACTTGATTGCAAAGGAGCAATTGCATCATATAACCTGAATTTTAAGTTTTGAATGAACAAGTTGATACAAAATAAACTACTATTAAAAGTTATTTCATACCAAAAACTTAAGAAGTCTATTTTATTCCAAAAGATGGGTAGCAAATTATGTTATACATTTTCCAGAAGTGTGATGTAGGCTATTATACTTATTGTACCTCTTCGTATCTCCTGGTTTCTCAAGGGGTATTTTATTCATGATTGTAAAAATCAAAGGTATTTACAGCAAAATCTGTGACATCTGCAATTGATAGGAAGGCTTAGAAACCAGAATTTGGGTCATTTTTCAGGTGACTCTTTTTTCTGGTAAGCTAGCAGTCATGAGGCAAGCCCCTATGGAGCTGTTTAAACTAGGTTGGGGGTAGTAAGTAACTCGGTCACCTATGTCACGGGAACCAGGTATATGAGCACTGGTCAGAAATTAGTTACATCATGGCTTTCCAGAAGTCTCCATTCTTCCCTTGGCCAGCCCCTTACATTCTAAAAGCCAGGGAAAGAGCAATGATGTCCACTGGCAAATTATGTCTCCTTATGGGCATCCTGAGAGTGGAAGGTTTTTATTATTTCTTCCCTCCCAAGATAGCAGCCACTTACCTGGTCACCTGGAAATCCCGGAAAACCAATGATCCCGCTCTGCCCTGGTGAGCCTGGAGGGCCTGGGAGTCCAGGAAGCCCTGGCCGCCCTTTTTCACCAGGCTCTCCTCGGTAAAATCCAGGTGGCCCGTGTCTTCCCGGTTCTCCTCTCCTCCCTGGCATCCCAGGATTGCCTTTATCACCTGATGGGGTTGGAAGTGTTAGAAACCTCTCTGAGGAACTCTTGGGCAATAGTTAGGTTGAGACTCTTGTTCTTACTTTTAGGAGATGAAGCCAAAAGTATTGGGAATCCTAATTCCTGTGCTAGGCTGCATCTATTGATAGATGGTTTCTGGTTTCAGTGACTTGACCGTAAAAGACGCTGCCCATGAAGACTCAGGGCCATCTGATTGGAGCCAGCAAGCAGGGTCACTTATGTCAACACACACATTTTACAAATCAGGAAGAGCTTACCCAGAGAAGTTAAAACCTGTGTCCCCTAAGAACTGGTTCAAGAGAGAGCTAAGATAAGAACTCAGGCTTCATGCAGATTAAGTCTGAACTTGGGAAACAGAACACAAATGTGGAGGTCAAAATCCATGCTGCATATGTGCTCTTCCTGAGGCCAGCGGTCCAGGCATAAAGAGTGCTAGTTAGAAAGGCAGAGTCCGGCCTGCCCCAGCCCTGCCGAGTCCCACTCTGCATTTTAACAAGAGCCCCAAAGGATGCATATGAACATCGAAACTGGAGAAGCGTTGGTCAGAATGACTTGGGCAGTCTTTATGCTATTCATTATAACACTAGCCACCCAAAACAGGAGTACTTAAACCTGAAACCAGTATTGTATGTATATCTCAGGAGTGACCGTCGTTTGGAATATCCAAATCTATGAATACATATGAACTTCAGCTAAGTTCTAGTAGAAAAGCAATAAGTAAATAAATAAATAAATAAATAAATGTAAATAAAATGTACCATAAGTTCATTAGTGTATATTTATATCTAAAAAATGACCTGTCATAATCTCGGCATGACTGGGAAAGTTGCCTAATATACATGCTTCTTTGAGTGATCTGTAAAGAGGTCAACTTGTTTGATATGATAACAAAAACTTAAGTGTTTACCTTCTTTTCCTGGGAGTCCGTCATCTCCAGGAGGTCCAGTTTCTCCGGGTTTCCCCTTTTTGGAAATTAGAGCTATTTCTCCTGCATCTCCTGTGGGTCCTCTCTCTCCTTTAGATGTTATTTATGCAAGAGGAAAACAAACAGAAGCACCACACACATGATTCTTCCGTCACAGACACTTCATGTCCTATTTGCAAGTCCCCATTCATCTAGCAAACTGTGTCTATGTTTATAGATGGCTCGGTATCAACATTTCCGATTGGTTTCCTAAAGGAAGGGCCATGCCTTTAACTTCCTCTCCCAACTTGTCCAGCACCAACTTGTCTGGTGTACAGTGGATGCTCGGTGAATGTTTATTCAATTCAACCAAACTGGTCTCAGAGCCTTAAGTGACAAAAGACAGGCTTGAAATGCTCCAGGTGTGAAATACGTCTTTTTATCCTATAAAATTTGAATTGCCCGCCTCATAGTTTCCAGTTCCCTACCTTCCCCTTCCTAGTCACCCTCTCTCATTTTCCTTACCTTAAAAAAATGGACACTTATCTCGACTTAGTTCTCAATACAGAGAATTCCAAAAAGTAGGAAAGGTACATGATGTATCTGCCTGATTTTCGTAAATGCCACCTACTTGTAAAGTATGTTGGAGTGGGCTCCTACCAGCTTGGTGAATGCTGATTATTAACAATTCAAGGATTTTGTAAGCCAGTTGTTGAACAATCGGCAGCTTTAGCTCAACCATGGTGGGAATATTTATGCCATGGCGATCAGCGATCACTACAAATCAGGACATTTACTTTAGATTTTATTCTGGAGAACTATTTATCCATACATCACTGGCATTAACCTACCTTTTTATTCTTTTTAGTGAGATAATTGCTTAGTAGCATAATAGCACAGCAAACATTACCTATCTAATCTAGCAAGGAGTGACTCTTTAATTCCTTGATCCTGCATAAATAATTTACAGACTCGTAAAACACAAAAATAATAGAATCAATCAACTGAGAAGTAAAAGCAGTTTGAATTAAACATGAGGCCATTTGCCCGAAGGACTTTAAGGACAGAAACCTTGCTTCTAAAACTTGACAAGCATTCATTCTCAGCACTGGAAGTGAAATGTTACCCTCACTCATTTGTAGCTCATGGCTAAGAGGTAAAAGTAGATATTCAACAGGGATGAGCACAAAACATTTAACCAGTCATCTGGAAACTTCCATTTGTTATAGTAATGAAAATTCTTAGTTTAAATGAAGCTTAGGGGAGACTAAACTCAGGGCCCTGATGAATGCAGACTCATTCCAGTTCAGAGGTCGGCAAACTACAACCCAACGGCCAAACCCTGCCTGCTGCCTGTTGTACAATCCACGAGCTCTGAGTGGTTTTTACACTTTTAAGTCATTGGGAGAAAAACTCAAAACAAGAAAAATATTTTATGACATGTGAAATTAAATGAAGTTCAAATTTCAGTGTCCATAAATAAAATTTTATTGGAACAGAGCTATGCTCATTTTTTTCCGTCTCTGGCTACTTTTATGCTACACAAGCCAAGTTGAATAGTTGCAACAGAGACCGTACTATCTGTAATGCCTGCAATATTTATATCTGGCTCTTACCAAAAGGGTTAGTATTTTTCACTAAAAAAATTGAAACAGAATTTGAGAGCCAGGAGTCCTACCTGCACCCACTTCCCGAAAGGTGAGAAGGCTCTCTGAAACCCAGTAACTACAAATCAATGTTTATATCAATGCACTTGGTAATTTTCTTCTATTAACAGAGCAATTCATTTACCATAGTTTTATGTAATAAGATTGAGGAGTAAAGAAATGCATTTTGTTTAAAATTCTAAAACAAACACTATAGAACCAAAAGGAAGAGGAACACGAGCTGCAGGATAGACACATTTTGTTGTTTAGAGATCACATTTATAGGTTCTGGTCAAATACCAAAAGCAAACCCACGCTGCATTGCTGCAATGTTAACTGCACTTACTTACCTTTGACACCTCGCATTCCCTGGTCTCCCCGGAAGCCAGGCCAACCCTTCTCTCCAGCTTCTCCCTTCCTGCCAGGCTGTCCCTCGGGGCCGGGCTTTCCTCTCTCTCCTGGGAAACCTGGGAGGCCAGGCAGTCCCTGGGGTCCTGATGAAATAAAAACATGAAATTTTAGGGAGTCACTTTAAAGGCGAGTGTGGTTCCTAGATCTGTGTGCCTTTCTGTCTATGTAGAGATGTGCGCTGCCACCGGAGCTGAATTTGTATTGAAGGTGAATAACCACTATGAAGCCCACAGTGTGTAACAGCTGGGTTCTCCCACCCAGTCCTCAGGTTTCCACCCCACAGATTCAAAATGGAGACGCTTAGGTTTCTGAGTCCTGATCCCATAATGGTTTCAGAGAACTGGGTGTGAGGGAGGAGGCCGGAGAGAGAGGGGGTCCATCCAAAGCGGAAGCACGGGCTCAGTTGGTTAAGAGCTCGCTCAAGAGTTTGAGCTCTGAGCAACAGTGGTTCGAGTCCAGCCCGAGCTGAGCAGCCACTGAGCTGCCAACAGGTAGCAGGATGGCTCAGCTAAAAAAAAAAAAAAAAAAAAAAAAACCACAAAGCGGAAGCACGTCAGCCCTGACCCTACAATGTATTGGCTCTACCCAGTTTGAGGAGCAGAAGTGTCTGTAAGTTCTGTGGACCTAACACCCCCATTACCCTTTTCCCATCTGCCTACACTAAAACATTCTGCCTCTGGAAATATGAATACAGGGGATAAGAAGAGGAGAGATGTCAGTCACTAAGAGAAGGACAAAGTCAGGCTGACATAGCAGAACATTCTATAGTGTGGTCATCCCTAACAGGCTTCACTTGGCAGTGGGTATCAAATTTATAAAATGAAGAAAATAATTGAAAAGTGCTACCCACCCTTTGGGCCTGGAAGACCAGGTAGTCCATCATCACCAAAGGGTCCTGGGATTCCTGGGAGTCCTGGGAGTCCATCTGGCCCTGGCCGTCCTGGGACTCCTGGGAGGCCCTTCATTCCAACCGGTCCAGGAGGTCCCATATCTCCTTGCTGTCCTTTCTGACCTGGGGCACCTGAGACAAAGCACAGTGACAGCAATGTATGAAGACTGAAAACTGGCTTGACACACGGGCAGGAAGAAGCTATTCATGGTAGCTTCAATTGTGTATCTATGGCTGATTTGAAAAAGTGAAACAATATTTATCAGCTAAAATAATAGTAGCAACTCTCCATCGTCCAACAAATATATACATTTTTTTTCTGGCTGCTATAAAAAGAAGGGCAGAAAATGTTTAAAATGTTTATTACTTGAACAAATATTTCTCAATAAGAATGAATGTATAAAGAGTTTTTTTAAAAATGAGAAATAGATAGGGGTGAAAAGCAAAATGTTATTTGTATTTACTCTTAGGGAAAAAAACTAATAGAAGAAAACTTTCCAGGTGCTTCCAGAAGCTGAGGGCCAGGTGAATTTTGGTCAGGCTGCTAACCTTGATGAGAGAATTGTAGAAACCAGAACAACATCATCTAGTATTATATGGATGCTAGAAATAAAGCTATCGTGGCAGGTTTTGCCCCAATCTCGTGTTGATCCTTCAAGAGGGCATATTCTTGCATTTGGATAAACGAAATAGGATTTATGTAACAGGTGACAACCTGAATGGTGAAATGAAGATCATATTGGAAATAGCTGCCTAGCACCGTGCATTGAGAGACACTCCTTCATGGGTCTCTTCGAGTTCCTACACGTCTTGCTGGGTATGCCAAGAATACAAGGTCCTGACTGCTCTTCACTTGGGCTCTTTCTCAGGGTGATGTTTGCAGCGAGCAACCTTGGCAGATGATATAGCACCTCCTCCTGTACACAAAGCAGGCTGTCTTGCAGGTTATTGTAAAGCGGTGGTTCCCCAGGCTAAGTGTTCCTCTCAGATACTACAACCCATTGTGCATGTGACATCTATTTAGCCCCTCTTATGTTGCCCCTGAGAGACCTGGATGATGTGAGGAAATGACACAAGCCAACGTGAAGCTCATGCTACTTGCTGTGCCATGAATAATGAAGTCCTTTGTCTCTGACCCAAGAGTCTTGCTTCTGCCAGCATCAGTGAAAGAGCAACAGGCGAACAAATTCCTTTGTAAGTTGGGTAAAGCCCAAGACTCTTCACAGCTCTTGACACCTGCCGGCACTTACCTGGGCTGCCTGGAGTCCCAGGGAGTCCCGGTTGTCCTGGTAACCCGGGAGCACCTCTTTCACAGGAATGGCCAGGTGGACCTGGGATGCCTGGAAACCCAGCACTTCCCTCTCTGCCTTTGGGACCTTTGAGACCTGGTGATCCGGGCTTGCCAGGTGGCCCTGAAATGATACAATTCATCCATGATGCTCATGGCATAAAATCATGTAGATAGCCTACAACGAAGAGTTCAGGCATATCAATACCGAAAGTCAACATTTCGATGCTGGCTCAGTGCTCAAATGAGTTAAGTCTCTGAATGGATTTTCTTTTCATAGAGCAGGAGCGCCACATGAATGGGAAAATCAAGCATTGCTAAGAGGGTTAAACTTGCTAAGGTTAAGTAAACAACAAAGAAGTTGTTTGTGAAAACCCATGTGGTTCTTCCTGATTTTCATTAACCTCTAACATTGCAGCAGACTTCACACCAAATCTCCACAACACTTACAAACTCAGTCTGTGCTGCATGAGTTTGCATTTTGTAAGATATTTCATCATTTGAACTCTGAAATTTCTATTTATTGGAAAGGCAGTGTCATTATCTTCAGAAAGAAAAATACCCACCCATTACTCGCCACCTTAACCTAAAAATCTACTTTGTTTTTCCATGTTTTCATGATATTTTGGTTCATATGTTTACATTTTTAAAGTTGTCACAATAAACATTCAATTGTTAGATTATTTCACAATGCACACTAATCTGCAAATGTTTTCCATTTTGTTGTAATCTTTACAAATAAAATTTTAATCCTTAATGCTAATAGCTGAATACTATTCCTTTGAGTGTGTGTGTGTGTGTGTGTGTGTGTGTGTGTGTGTGTGTGTGTGTGTGTAACTTAACTCTCTTTATTGTTTCCATTTATTCCTTTATTGTAGATAATACTACAGTTGACCCTTGAAGAACACAGGTTTGAACTGTGCGGGTCCACTTATACATGGATTTTTTTTTCAGTAAACACAAACAGTACTATAAATGTATTTTCTATTGCTCATGATTTTCTTAATAACATGTTCTGTTCTCTAGCTTACTTTTCTGTAATACAGTATGCAATTCTCATAATGTACAAAATATTGTTAATAGACTGTTTATGTTATCGGCAAGGCTTCTGGTCAATAGTAGGCTATTAGCAGTTGAGCTTTGGGAAAATCAAAAGTAACACACAGATTTTAGACTGTGCGGCGGGCTGGGAGTGGGGGGGTCAGATCCCCTAACCTCTGCATTTTTCCAGGGTCAACTGTAAAAGAGTTTTTCTCATATTCACCTTCATCTTCTTTTGAACACTTCCTTTAGGTAGATTTTCACAACTGAGGCTGTGGGATTACCGGTTCAAAATGCTTTTCATTGAATCATAGAATGTGTCATCTTGTTACTGTCCAATGAATTGAGGTTTCATCTATGAATATTTTGATTTACAAACTACGAGCAAACGTCCCGAAGACAGAGAATGTGGTTTAATCCCTCTCCGCCATTTGCCCTGTACTATTGTACTATCGTGGGCACCTAATAAGTGCTGGCCTGTCCACAGATCAGAGCAGTGTTTGTTAACGTCTGGTCTGGGATCCACTCTTAGTTGCCAATGTCTGAGAAGCTAAAGTTCAGACTGGACTACTGGGCCCCATGCAATTCTGATGGCATGAGTCAGAATTCCTGAGACTGGGCCCCAAAGATGTTGATTTTAGTGATGCCCCTACCCCATCCAGTGTTATTTTTAAGTCCATTAAAATCTGAAAATCTCTGCTGGGGGTCCTCAAGAATTCTTAGTGATTTCAGAAAAGGATGTGAATCATGCCAGGGCCATCTCTCCATCTGGAGTTTCTTCGCTGCCCCGCCTGCTACCCCTGCTGGAATGCAAGCCCCTCCCCCCTGTCACCTGCCCAAATAATACAGCTTGTCTGTCGGGGCTCAGCTCATGCCTGCTCTCCCAGGGAGCTCTCCCTGAACTCCAGCCCACACCGGTCCACCCCTCGGAGCTGGTCTATCTCACTCAGGCTGCCTTGTCCTCCTTCAACTTGGCAATGGCAGTGGGCGGGTTACATACATGGCCCCTGGTCCTCAGCACTAACATACTGTCCTGAGTCCCAAGCAGGCAGGCGTCCAGTAGCTGCTGAATCAAACTCAGTCGACTAAGCCACAGTGAGATGCTCTGGACTTGAAAACAATCAATGCAATGCAAACCAACACTGGGGATGCAGGTTATGTGAAAAGCAACCAGTGTCTATACATGAGGGAAGATGCCTGCGTGAAAGTTTTACATTCCAGATTTCTAAGGCAACATAGTTTAAACACTCTTCGGTGACTTGTTCCAAGCTGAGCTGGTTTTATGGACCACAAGGACAATGCAGCCCGCATACCTGCAGCCCCTGGATATCCTGGGTCACCTCGGGATCCTTTCAACCCTGGCACTCCTGGAGGACCCCTCTTTCCCGGGGGTCCTGGGTGGCCATAAGCAGGGTCCCCAGGTATTCCTTTCTGACCATTTCTTCCAGGTGAACCAGGAGGGCCTGGGGGCCCAACAGGAGAGGACCCCTTTTCACCTTCAAAACCTGGATCTCCCATGTCACCACGAAAACCTATTGAACAAAAAATTGTTTCAATTGTTAAATGTAGAAATACAGAACCAATACACATATAAGACTATATATACTGCTTTGATAAAAACACATTGTTAAAAAATACAGAGGGAGGACCGGCCGAGTGGCTCAGTTGGTTAAGAGCTCGCTCAAGAGTTTGAGCTCTGAGCAACAGCGGTTGGAGTCCGGCCCGAGCTGAGCTGCCGCTGAGCTGCCAACAGGTGGCAGGATGGCTCAGCTAAAAAAAAAAAAAATACAGAGGTACTCACTAAAATTAAGAGTAACCTCCTAAGAGTAATGGGGTTTTTTTGCCACCTTTTGTGGGGAAATAAATTGTAATTTTATATTTCCTAAACGCCAACGATGTTTCCTTCATTGCTTGCATTGTCTGGCAGACTGTCTGGACTGAGCATTTTTACAACACAACACACAAGTAGTAGCCTATAACTCATGCTTCAGGTGGAGGAAGTCCCGAAACCTTCCAAAATTATCATAACCTAAAAGTACTTGAAATACAACTAAGAGCTTAAATGTAAAAGCATTCCCCCATTACCCAGGGGTCTCTGGGCCATTTTCTTACTAAGAGCCTCTAGTTTTACAGGAATATGACATCCCTACATGAAACACACGTCACTCACCAGGTGGACCAGGTATTTTTGATATTCCTGGTTTGCCACGCCGACCTTTTTGTCCATCAAAACACAGCCCCGGAGGACCTGGAGGGCCTGGAAATCCCTTTGGACCTACACAATAACAATAAAACACAGACAGACTCAATAAAACACAAATCAAATGAGAACAAAATCATGTGATTAAAAGAAAACCTACTTAAAAGAGTATGTCTACTTTACGGAAGTAAAGATACAGCCTAGCCTGCTTTTCGTAGCCATTTTATGAGTGATGTGCTCCAAATACATTTCACAGGGCGTGACTGTGTTACTGTCTAAGAAGTCATGCTGTCAAAGGTTCCTGAAAACCTTTGGGACATACACTACCATTCAGATGAACCTTTTGGGACCTTCCCCTGCTAGGTCTCAACACAAATACGTGAGCATAGCCTGTCCTTGTCAAAGGTGGTGGCCAGTGTTTGGCCTGATGAAAAAGCACTGGAGTAAAAGTCAAAATCTACTTATCTGCATCTTACTGCATTTGCCCTTAAATAAAGTATAGGCAAAAAGCACTTGTGGAAGGAAATGAGGGTTTGGTTTTGTTTTTAAAATCTTCTGTGATTTCCTACTAAGAGCTGTCTCAGCCAAAAACAAACAAACAAAAAAAAACTTACAAATCATGGACTTCAAAGGAGGTACAACTGCCAACTTAAAGCTCCAGTGATTACTTCCATTGAGGGCTTAAAGCTGCCGAAACTAATCATAAACGTTTTATATCCATCCATAATAAGGTACCAGGAAATGTGCAAATGAACATTCAACCAGTCAACAAGCAATGGTTCACTCCACTGATGTAGAATTATACTTCCACACCTTCACCTTCATCCTTGCCTTGTGATGGGTGGAATGTAGTTCCCACACTTTGAGCTGAGGCTTGGTCATGTGACTGACTTTGGCTAATGGGACATTAACAACCATGAAGCAATGAAAGGTGTGAACTGTGTCCATGAAGCTGGGCTGCCCTCTTGCAGCTCTGCAATCATATGAAAAGAGCACTCAATGGCCCCTCAATGAGATGTGTGTTGCAGACCTGAACGTGGACAGGAGCCAGGGACCAAGCCAACAGAGGCCATTTTAGATCACCTGAACCCCAACCAACCTACAGACCCATAATAGAGAAAAGAAATATTTGTTGTTGTAGCCCACTGAGATTTTGGGATTGTTATACAACATTATTGTGACAAAAGCTAATGGCTATAGAGGGTAATAGAGAGTCATTCATCATCCAACCTTTAACTTCTTTTTGTAGTTATATAGTACAAGAAAGGTGGTCATGCTAGTACTCAGCTGGGAAATTTAATTGAAACCTGAATAAACAAAAAAGAATTAAGCAAAACCTTTATATAGATTTGGGATTTAATTTAGTTAGAAACAAGTGATTGATTCAAATGAAGTGGTTCCATGAACGTGCAACCAGGGATGTACATATGTGAGCACTTTTCACACTGTTTCTGGTCAGAAGGTTGTGTCTCTTGGAAAGCAGAATAAATTTTATTACAATAAGCAAATGGTCACTTTCCACTCTCGGGACACAGGGCAAGAAGGGAGATGAATTTTAAAACTCTCAAAGGAGACATTTTAACAAATATGTTATCAAGTCAAGGTAAATTTGTCACACAGAGAAGAAAAACCCAGCCAGAGTGTGCCCAAACCAGTAGACTAGAGACCCAATGTGAATTACTACAAATGCTGTATTCCCGTAGTCCCTCAAAACCTTTCAATAACTTTAGAACTACCCTAACTCTTTGCCTGTGAATTTGCTTTTGGTTTATCTATCTGGCCAGGTCTTTTTCTCTGGGGACTGTGTAAGACAGTAACTTCTCATTGATCATACCTGGAGGTCCATCAAAACCTGGAGGGCCTGGCCTCCCAGGGTAGGAGACATTACAAGAAATCGTATCACCTGGAATAGAAAAAAAAAATCATCGCATTCACATATTTGATAACACTGTAAATCTCAATGACAATTCTATCAAGATATTTTTTATAGAGTATGTGCAATTCAAAGGAAAAGAAGATTTGAAAGTATCACAGATCACTTGATCTACTATTACTCCAAATTTCTAGAAAATATGTTCTAAAATCTGGGTTTCAACCATCAGAGCAGTTATAAACAGAAGGGACTAGGAAAAATAATGGTTCCAAGAAGTATCATTTTTAATAACCTAGAATAAGTAATGGATGGATAGGCCCATGGATGTTGAATACAATGGAACCAGAAGCTTTGATAAATCATGAAACAGCAGGAAGCACCCACGGTGAGCTCAGAAGATTTGGCTCCTAGTTTGGATGTGGGGAAATTGTGCAAATGAAGAGGCTGGGAAAGATATTAATAACAGCTCTTATTTACTGAGCGCCTGCCATGGGTCAGGTGCTTCAAATATATTGTCGTTTGGTTTTCTAATGACTCTGCAATGTGGATATTGTCATCCCTCATTTTAATTAATGAGGAAAATGAGACTCCAAGCTTGTGCATCTGAGTTCCCATCTCCTTTAAAAGGGAATGTTCCTCTTTTATAATAGAAATAATATCTCATAATGTACTATCTCATATGCTCTCAAATCAAAAACATATGAGATGAATAAAAATGTTAGATTTTGATGGGTCCCAGACTATGATTTTAAACCTTATCGAATTCCAAGGTATTTGTCTTTCTATGTTGTCAAAGCAAGAACCAAAGATATTATTTTCATCTGAAATTTCCTAATTCACAATGTAGTAGCCCAAGTTATAGGCATGTGCTCATATTACAAAAGAAAAACCCTTAAATACATATTTTTCCAACTTTTTAAAATGTTTGCAGCTATCATACTGTAGGTTATTTTATTGTTTGAAATTCACAAAACTCTCAAATATATTTAAAACCCCTTCTTTTTTCTCCCTAGGATGCTTACAAATGAGTTTTTTTAGGACAATGATGTATTTTTTTAAAGAAATACTAGTGTTTTTTAAATTAAAATACATTGCATTATCTCAAACGATTGTAAAAAATATCTTGAATACATGTATATATGTAATTTTAACATAGTCAGATTGTGTAAGTTGATACTGAGTAATGAAGGAAAAGCAACTTTGGTAAGTCAGACAAATAAAGCAACAAAGACATCTTAGCACTTCAAGGATGTTTTCAATATTGGTTGTGCTGCAATGCTTTTATTTGTTTGACAATATTCAACGTTTGAACAGCAGCTTGATGGAATTTTATTTTGCAGTTCTGCCATAGCTATAATAACTTTCCCCAGCTTCCATGCTGTCACCTGACATTCTGTCACGTGAAACATTCAAAATTACCTTCCTGACCCTTCACGCCATCAGGGCCCCTCTTTCCTGGGCAGCCCGGAGATCCTGGAGGCCCCCTTTGTCCCAGTGGGCCAGGAAGTCCCAGTCCTGGAGGCCCCGTGGGTCCTTCTCTGCCAGGGGGGCCTGGCGGTCCAGGAAATCCTCGATCACCTGGGATTGCGTCTTCATGATCCCCCTGGGAATGTTCGCATCGTGAGTCAGTTACTGATCTTTGAAAGTCCATGAACTCAAAGCAGTCATTGTCACAGGCTAATGAAACACGTGGAGAAAGCTCATAATTCCAGGAGACAGTGACTCAATAGCAAATGTAATTTAACATGATTAACTTAGCTTCTTCTTAATATTTTACATACGTATTTACATATATATGTGAGTAGGGTGTGTGTGTTATATCTCAAATACAGAAAGTTATGTGGTTGTGATGTCTTAAAAACAAAGTAATAAATGTCATGTAGAACCATTCTTTATTATTAAATATATTAAAATATAGAAATAAGTAAATTAACAGAGGTAGTGGGCGTGCAAATTGAGTAAGTTCATATGCACTTGAAATTGTTTTCCTGCATTCTTATGAGAAGATACACGGATGGACTCCATCACTCTCTATGTCTGTGGACAAAGGGCTGACAAATCCTTTCTCCTCCTGCATAAGAATTTGAACTTTGGTTAACTTTCTAGTTCTATTTCTCTGGAAACTTCATAAAAATTGCAAGCCAACTATATTACTGGGCAACATTACTTACAGTAAAAATCAAACCAGGTTGCAAAATTTGCATCTGGTCTGGGAGAACCATAAAGACCTGTGTGGAGCCCCTGTTGAAGCTTCCTTGAGTGGTGGCTCCTGTAATTGCCAAGTTCCTTGTAGGGTCCCCACAGGCTGTGCTGTGGAGATAACAGCTCTTGTGGGGGGTGAGGCTTTCAAGTCAGGAATCTCACACATCTGCCAGATGAGGATCTCATCTCCTTCACCCCAACTGAATGACCAGCTACAAGGACCCTCACACATGAGAAATGCCTGATGTTGTCTCACTGGCAAGTTGAGGGTCCTGTCTTCTATCCTTCTGAATAGCCTGGCCCCAAATGTGATGCAGAATAGCCTTGTGAGTCTGGTTTGTTTCAGTGAATCTAGCAAGACGCCTCCCACTGGAGGTGTTATAGAAATGCCTCTCCCAATTTGATCTGTAAATATACTTTAGTTTTTCACAATTAGGTTAGTACACGATGACAACTGCCACCCAGTGACATTGGTTTCTAACTAGTTTCTCAAGTGGAAGAATGAATTAAACAAGGATTACCAAGTCTAGAGCAGAGACGGTCATCCACAAACCTGATACCACCCTAACGACCAGAAAGCTCTAAACACCATCTAGCCTGATTTCCAGGCTTGTCTCTTATTCACATATATTCTGTCTGAATGAGTTCCTATAAAACCAGAACATGGTTCTTCCCTAATACAACACTCCCAGTGGCAGGCAGCACAGTCTGGTGGAAGTACCATATGCTTTGGAATATGGCAGACTGGGGTTTTCACTCCTGTTTAGCCTACTTGAGAGAGAGATAGATGTAACATGCCCTAAGCCTCCATTTCCTTACTGTAAAACTGGAAAGGTAATTGCTCTTCAGAAGACTACTATTATGAGTAAACATCTAGGTCAGTTTCTGTGACATTGTGCGCATTCTGAAACACCTCATATACCCAAGATATTTTAAGTTCCTAAGCATTGAATCATGTCTCATAGTCTTTTCTTATGACCTTCATTATCTACATGACCTCCACCCAAAACACGTTAAAAAAAACACAGAAATATCATTTACCAATGAAATTTTCCATCAGCTAATATGTCGATTCAGTTCATCAATTTTTGCTTGCTACTTCCCTCATGTGATTCTTCACCAGAGAACAGGACTGAAGATAATTATCAGAACCTGTGCTCTATCTTCCACCCTACAGAGTCAAGTGAACAGACCTCAGATGGAAGCTTTGCAGGTACAAGGGATCCAGAAGGAAATAACCACCACAAGAAAGATACAAAGACTAGACTCAGAAAGTCTTGCTATGACTGAACTGCCACCCAAGATTTTAGACCATCTTCCATTATGCCATACTTTTTATAACAACCATCTTTCTGTGGCAGAGAATCAAAGGTGGCTCTGATTTATAGCCTGTTAACACTTTGTCGAGTTGTAGCTTTTTAAATTGAGACGAGGAAAACAGATGTTTTGTGACCATGTAAGAAAGTGAAATTCTACAGCAGGAGAAGAATTATACATACTGGCAGTCCTGGATCCCCTGTTTCTCCAGCATGTCCATCCCAACCATCTTGTCCTGGCTGCCCTGGAAATCCTTGGGGGCCATCAGGACCTCTTTCTCCTTTGCGCCCTGGGAACAAAAGCCAAAAGATATTCAAGCCCTTATCAGCAGTGGGTGAAGTAGAGGATAAAGACAAAGGCATGACCTTGACTCTATGTGGGCTGGTAGAGATTCCTCTGAGTGTCTCAGTTGACCAAGTCACACAAAGACAACTGTGTAAAAGTCAGAGGGGAGAATGACAATTGCCAAACACACTGAGACTCTTATTTGGGAAATGTTCCCTTTCCCATTCTGACAAAGAGGCTGTATTTGGAGGTGCCAGTCATAACAGCATCTTCCCCCGCTTGTGTGATGTCAAACATGGTACACCATCTCAAAGTCAAAGTGAAAGAGGAGATGGTCCATGGTTGGGCACTTGGCCCAGTCCAGTCCAATCCTTCCTGAATTTTTTTTTTCTAACTGGAGATGAAAAGATAGAGCTCTCTTTTATACCTGATTGTAAGAACTTGTAGCTCCCTGGGGCAAGGACTCACAGCTCAGAGAAAAGCTAATCTTGGAGAAAATATGCAGATGGCAAAATGAAAGATACAAGATGCAGGGAGAGACTCCTATGCAGTTGTCCCGTACAAACCTTGCAATCTAACCTTTCAAATTTTGTTTAAGCAAGCCAACAAATTACTTTTTTCCCCCTTAAGCTACTTCAAGCTGGATTTCTGTCATGTACAACCAAAATAATCTTCATTAATACAGGCTACTATAATGTAGTGGATAAATACTAGGCAAGTTCAAGAAGGTCTTCTTTCAAACCCAAGTTCACAACAATAAAGATTTGAAACTGTGACTGAAGGAGCATTTATGTTTTCAAATAAGAGACAGAGGATTTGAGGCTCAACATTCACAAGACTCGGTGAAGGACAGGGAGTATTTTTTTCAGCGATCTCAATAAGCCTAAATATTGTTATAGAATTGATCTGTGATCACAGGAGAAATTGATGCAAGGGGATGGATCATATATTATTCATAAAAAGGCAGGGAGCTAAGTGATTGATTAGACTCACCTTTAACTCTTGATACAACCGTGTCACCCTTTTCTCCTTTGTTGCCGGGTCGTCCTGGGGCACCAGGTTTTCCCTGGATGAAAAATAATAGCAACGGATCAGTTTAATTGTGACAGGTCAAAAGTTATCTATATTCATGTATACCTAATCTCTTCTTTCCATCTAATCAACCGTTCTGGGTTCAAGGTTGGCATGCTTGGTCTCATTGTCTTTCCTGCCTTCCAAGGTGGGTCCTACCTTACAAAATTGAGGCTCTTGAGCTGCATGTAAAAACTGATGGAATCTAAATATGGTCTGTACCTGAGTCAATAGAAATTCACCAATATCAATTTCCTGGTTTTGACAATGTACTAGGACTATGTAAGATATCATTGGGGGAATCTGGATGAAGGGTACATGGGAGCTCTCTGTATGACTGTGCAACTTCTTGTGAGTCATAAAATATTGATTTTATGATAAATATTTTGATTGTAAATATTTTTATAAATATAATAAAATATACATATAATAAAAATTTTGATTATAAAAATTTATAATCAAAATACCTTTTTTTAAACAATCTTGGGCTTTGTAAAGTAGAACTGGGTGGAAAGAGGGGAGTAGGTTATTCATAAGAGCTGCCACTTTAGCTGAAGGTAGACATTGAGGGATGAGACTGATGAAAGAGACTGATACTGAAGGAAGTTAATGAGCAAGAGAAAGGAGTATACTTTGCTGTAGTCAGTCTATTTCTTCTGTATAGCAAGTGAACAACTAATTCTGATTGATCTGCACATCATCTTTTGACCCCAAATTGTTCTGAGACTGGACTATTTGGATCGTGTTTTTATAAGTGTTACATAGTATTGAATACCACACCATGTCAAAACCCTGAAAGCCTACTGTTGGTATACTACAGTGGCCAAGCATTACAGCACACACAGTTATAGAAACACTAAACATAGCTTATGTTTACTTATCTAGTGATCTCAATAACCAAGAAACACAGGCAAGAATTTGGAAGGTAAACATGACTGAGCTGACCATTTGCTTTGCACACACACACACATGCCAGCTTGCCTTATTTTCATACAACCTCACAACGTGTTCAAACCAGCTAAGTTATCTCTTGAACTGGCCATTACTAATTTATATGCAGTGAACCATATGCGCGAGAAGGGGCCAGAAAGATAAGCACAATGGTAGCAGTAAGAATGAAAAGAAGCCCCAAAAAACATACACAATAGGCCTAAAAACTCAAATGGGCAAAATGGTTGGAGCCATTTAATGTACAGAAAATACATCCACACACACACTACTCAATACCCCCAAGAACATCACTCTAGTTAGTATAGCACTAACTAGAGTGTTACACTAACACTGTGTGTAACAATGTCTATGAGGCATCAAAAAGATGAGTCAAACAAATCCCTTAGTAGAAAGAGCCAAATTAGATAGGAAAAGAACCTTAGCAATAATAAAGTGCTAATATGGGTTGAATGTTGCTTACATTCTTATTTTTACTGTTATAAGCCAAGTCATAAGGGACAATGAGACAGACCCAAAGTGGATGGCATATAGTACGTGTGGATGGCATACAGTCCAAGACATATAATGAAAATTTCTTCTGATGGATAGACTCTGGAGACTGAAAACTATTCACATAGCATGTGAACCAATTTCTCTCCAGAAAGAGAATACCAGCGGCATGCTTAATAAATAAGACCTTGATACCCTGGAACAATGGGTATGCCCTGAGAGTCTGAGCAGTTTGTTAAATGTCTACATCTGCAGAACACTAGAGCAATTTGTAGTATACTCTGTGTCTCCAACGTGATGGTTAGGCTCCAGGTCACCCCAGGATTAAGCCTCTTTAATAGGAAGGGGACAGGAGGGCTATCTCCAGCTCCCAGAGGCGTGCCCTAGGGGCAATGATTTTATTCTGAGCCACAGCTAAAAGGCTGTGCTTCAACCTGAGTCACTTGTAATGGTCAGCAAATGAGAGCCATTTTGAGATAGATCTCATCCCCTCCCTGGCACTAAATACCACGTAAATTCTGACAAAACCAATATTTACATCTCCACCCTCTACTTCCCATCTGAATCCCTAACTTAAACGTCCTCCCCCTTGCCTACTCGGCATCTCCGCTTGTTTGTCTAACAGGCATCTTAAACTTAAAATGCCCCCAGTGATACAGCTTTCTTTCCCCACCCCATGCCTGCTCCGCACATTGTATTATCCATCTTGAGCTCCATCCTTCATATCTCCTCATAGCCCATGCCCAGTCTAAATGCCAATCTGCTAGCTCTAGCTTCAAAATTTATCCAGAATCTGACCACTTCCCACCACACCCTGCACTACCATGATAATCCATTTGCTATCAATATTTCACCAAGACTACTGCAGCAATCTACCTCTTCCCTTGTCCTCTATGGTCTATTTTTAACAGAGCTGCCAGAGTGATCCCTTTCAAACAAATGTCAGATTATGTCTTTCTTTTCTAAAAACTCCCCACTGGCTGCTCTATGTCATCCAGAGTAAAAACTCAAATCCACCCACCTCTAAAGCCCATGCTTAGGAACCCCTCCTGACCGCCCGCTATTTCTTTGACTTCATCTTCTCTTGCTCTGCCCCTCACTGTCTCCATTCAAGCCACATGAAATGGGATAGCCTTTATTGCCATCCACCATACGTATATTTACTCATCTATCTGATACATGGTGTATGTCCTCCCAACAGAGTGGAGGCACCCGGAGGGCAGAGACTGTTCTGACCCCTGCTGTATCCCCAGCACCTGGAATAGCACCTGGAACACAGCAGGTGCTCAATAAATATGAGTCAAATGGATGAAAGAATGAATAAATAAATGAATGGATGAATAGAGGTGATTTTTGGTCAATATATTTATGGATTCCAAACAAACTATATATCAAACTATAAATTAGAAAGAGGTCTAATTGAAGTCTCTCTCTGTCTCTTTTAACTAGAAAGCTTGTTACTGGTAAGAATTACTCACTGGTGGCCCTGCGGATCCTTCAGCACCAGGAGGGCCTGGGTGACCTTTTTCTCCAGGCCATCCGGGGGGCCCCAAGTCTCCCTTACTACCCGGCCTCCCGGGAAGTCCTGGAGGGCCTGGTGAGCCCACGGGACAGGGCTTGCAGGCACAGAGCCCCGCGTTTCCTAGAGGATAAAAGGCAGCTTTGTCATATTTCCAGAATAAAATTCCAATGAAAGTTTTACTACACAAAACCAATAGTGAAAATAAAAACCAAAAGGGTCTGATGTGCACAATTCTTATTGCAGACAACTGACAACGTGTGATGTAGGTGCATGGCATAGGGGTACCTAGGCCTGGTCTAGATGGGATGGATGTATTGTTTCTAGACAAATGGGGTATTTAGAGTACTAATAAGCTCATCCTGACAAATTCTAGAGGAAAAGCTGATGTTCAATTCTACTGAAGAAACTTTAAGAATAAGAAAGCTTCTTATTTTTAAAAGTTTAGAAGTCTCTTATTTGGTTCCTACTAGAAAAGTCTCCTAGTTAATTCCTGCTAAAAAAACAGGGGGAAAAAAACCACAAAAGTGGTTAGAGTATAAACCCTGATCATCTAAGGAAACAAATAATAGGTGAAGAGGGATTATTGACCACATCGAGTATTACCATTGATAATTCACTATAATGTACTTTCTAATCATTAGAACTTTAAGTCTTAAAAAATGTCTCTAAGGATAGTGAAACTCCTTAGCTCTCACGCCCACCTGGCACAGTTGGTCAAAAAGGCACCAAAAAATTTAGGGTGAAGAAACATAGAGTCACAGGCATTTGATGAGTTTGGGAAATATGGGACCCACAAAGAGAAACGGAAGTAAAGATCAATAATGTCCCATCTCTGCTTCTTTTAAGGAATCAAGAGGATCTTGTGAAAAGAGTCACTACTTTGGAGCAAATTTCATGGCAGGTCAGTTTCTCCTTTATGCTCTAAGACATGAGGTTTGACTTTTTGGCAAGTTCTAATCACATCAGAAGCACATAGGAAGTGGAGTGCTCATAAGAGATAACTAAGATAAGTAACAAATCTAAACAAAATGCCACATTATACATTTCATAAATGTCCCCAAGCCTGCATATGTTGTTGTCTTCTAGGAGTTCTACCTTTGGTGCATACTTGCCTTTTTCTCCTTTTGAGCCCCTTCTTCCTGGAGGACCCATTTTGCCTTTTACTCCTTGTGATCCAGGATGCCCAGCACTACAATACAAAACTTCACAGTGGGAAAGGGGGTGGGCAGAGAGAATCACATCATTTTTGTGAATGTCTCCTACAGAACAAGTAGAAGTGTCTCTTGCACTCATGTCTTTCCCTCAGCACCATTCTTTCTTCTATTCTCTTCCTCTGATTCTTTCTCTCTAAGACTAGATATACAAATAGACTGTACAATTGTCACAGCATGCTTCTGCTGTCATAATCCTTATAAGGCCATCCCTAATCTCAGCCCTAATTAAGTGGGTTGCAGAGAAGATAATGGA